TATACGCGTTCGACGTATGCGCGATGACGTTACATAGAATTTTGTTAATTAAAACATGTTGATCCGACACTTTGAATGACGCGCGAAATGCATATTTTAATTATTTACGTTCCGGGATTTGTCCACCGGGATTTATTTACGGAATCTCGTAAAAGCCCGCACACTCGTAAGATGATCTACAATTCGTATCGGCAATCAGCTAGGATTCCGCGTTTAAAATTTTACAGCGCTTGCGCCGCCATTATACGGAAAAAAATATCTGAAGAAACAAAAATGTATATACGCGAATATGTATAGGCGCGTTTATATAAAATATGAAATGCGCACACGTAAAAGAATACACCGTGTATAAAAAGCGTCTGTGGACCGCGAAATCTGACGCGAGGCGAGGCTGTAGAGCGCCGAAGTAGCGAGCAATTATTTTACTTCCCGTGGCACAACAGCTATACTTCCCCGCGTATATGAAGCCCGTGTTCACCGCATTGCTCAGGTAATACATATGCGGTCGGACAATTGGTGTCTGCGATTAGAGTTCCGCCCTGCAATCTCGATCGCGCGGACGGAAGCCGAAATGAAAACGAAATGGCGAAGTAGTGCGCTTTAATTTTTTTAAATATAAAATACACTTTGACGGATAATGAAATACGCGCGCGTGCACGACTCGGCTCTCGTTGCCGCGAGTAATATAAATAAATGAATAAAATCCTCGCGTATAATCCGTATCAGATTGTATCGTAACAGGAGAGCGCATCCCGGCTTGAAATATTGATCTGGCCGAATTGCGGTGTTCTATCAAAATACATTAAAAGGACACAGCCGATTCCTCCCTCCCACCCTTTCTCTGTCGAGAGAGATATATTGGAAGTAATGTCACTGCGGCACACTTCCGGCCCGCCTCTCGCGCAGATTTCGAAATATCCAGTGACAAAAGTAAAATGATCCCATCCGAAAGAAGGACGGTGCGTTGCGTCAGCGTCAGGAAACTTTTCCGTGTGCACGCGGATACATATGTATGTATATGCCTCTCGTTAAAGCTGTAATGTCCCGCGGAAATGAAAAGCGTTGTTTTCAATACAAATTCAATTTTTATCCCCGGCCCTCCCTCACCCCTTCGCGGCGCCGCCGCGACACGTTTACGTTACGTTAAAAATGTACCGGCAAAAGAATTGCTTTATTGCGCGCAGCGTTTTAATTGCGCGCTGTTTCGTAGAACTTTCGTGTAAATTACGTGAATTCTTTTTTTTTTAACGTGCACACGATGATTAAACAAGTCCGAAATAATGCGGGGAACCGCTGATCGAATCGTGCATTATCGGCAGGAAAATTTCTCTCTCTCTCTCTTTCTACATACATTACAAATTAATTGAAATTTTCGTATATACCGTGATTTCCGTGGGATTGCCGATTTATGCGCGCTAATATATATGAATAATAATGCGACGTATTGTTTATCACACTCGATTATTTATTATATTTTAGCAATTTATTATTTTGTTATAATCCGATTATTTGTGCGAGATCCAACATTTATTAGAAGCGAAAAAATTTTTCTCTCTCTGGGATTAATTAATTTATTCGTGTTTGAGCGCGCGATATTTGATTTAAATTATTGAATGGCCGCAAATGGCGACAACAAAATTGAATACTATGAAATTCAATCCTATATGAAAATCGGAATCATTTGGCAATTCTGCGTTCGACATTAAACATAACAATTTATATCACGTCGCTGACGTGGCGCCGTTCCGACACTTTAATTAAAACAAACGCTTTGTAATTCTTTGAAGAATACGCATTTACACGCGTTCAAAAGATTCGAAGCATCCCTGTTAGAAAAAATGAAAAATTTTATTCTAACCAATCGCGCGTGCAATCCGCTAGCGGAGCCATTCCTTTGCACAAAAATGTTATTGGAAAGCTTTGCTCTCAGTGAAAGCTGCCAGCTTTGCAGTTGCATCTGGTTGAAATTGGTAGTCCTTTTTTTTTCGATTTTTGCGGAATTGTTTCAATTTTGTAAAAATCCTTTCCGCCCTTATATATAATCAAATCGAGCGGCGCGCTTCAAATCATGCGAATCTAATTTATCTTTTATAAGCATCGCCACCAGTCGATACTACTTTAATTTACCTTGTCACATACAGAACGCGGAGGTTACACGAAAGTTTAATCACTTCGTATAAATCGATAAGCGCCACAACAGATATAATTTCCCTCAAGCGCGTCCGTTGTGTCAAAGCTCTACCCCGGCGTCGTCTAATATAACATGGAAGACGTTCGGCGAAGCTTGTACGAGGAGAGATAGAACACGTTGGCCGTCTCGTGCGAGTGGCCTTGTATATTGGAGATGAAAAATTCATGGGGGGGCTCGATGCAACGTCCAATCTTAGGTATTTATTTCATGTAAGATACACGAGCCCCCGTATTTTCCTCTCCCGCGGAACACGATGTCGCATAATAACGGCGCTTAATTTTTCAGCATTTCTGGCGCAAGTAAGCGCGTGTAAGACAAATAAATTTCTCACGTACACAATTATTTTACATGTACGAGCTCTTTTAAATAGAGAAGCTTTTTTTATAAAAAATATTGTAATACAATTAGTTTACACTCAAGTTTACATCTGTTTGAAATTTATGAGACAAATAAATTTTTTTATAATTATTTTACATAATCCACTTTTTTAAATCTAATTTTTATTTAATCTACACGCAAGTTTATATTTGTTTGATTATTAATTAATTCAAACGTTTGTTTAATTTGCTTCTTACCCTCGGTATCAAACTTTCTCAAAGTTTAATATCGAGAATACGGTGCTGAATTTTCCTGAAGGTATATAAATTTTTTTGCACATTTTTCTACTTCTACGATATAAAATCAAAGTTCACAGAAGTTAAAGGCAGTAAAAGATTTAATATACAACCAGCTATTAATTAAAAAAAAAAAGAATTTGGTAAATAAGGCCATTAGTATTATGAGATCCCATTTTTAGCTAGCTGTGCCGCAGTAACTCGATGAGGTGTCTGTGTAAAATTAATGGCATACGGTACATACAGATTGGAGGCGATATCTGGAGGAGTATCGATTATCACAACGGCACAAATTGGGAGATAATTGGCTGTGTCAGCTTGCGCGCACCGGTCTGGTTTCCCGACTGGACAATATCGCGGCAACGGGAATTTAATAAAGCTCCGACTTGGACACTGCGTAGGACGTGGCTGAAAGAAATGGACGTGGAGCGTGTCTAGCATGCACAGGACCCTCTTTCCTTCGTTTTCGTCGTATCACCCAGCCCGCATTTCCCAGCTCTTCTTTCTACCGCGACTCTCTTTCTCGCTCCTTCGGTTCTCTTTATATTTTTCCGTGAATGAAGTCTATTTTCAAATTTTATTTTCGAACCATGAAAGCCATCGAACGGCACTCTATGATGGGTCCTTTTCTTATTTTATTTGTAAATTATATTTAAGAGGGAGGCAGAGAACGTTTTTTCTTCTATTTTTTTCGTTATATTCGATAGGAAATAAAATCATATAGAATCTTCTCGTAAATGTTATAACTAATCTCGGATAAAAAGACTCCTAAAATTTATGTAAAATTTTGTTTATCTAATTTATATTCTTATTTATATATGTTATTAAGTTTTGCATTTAATTTTATTTGATTTTCTTAACTATATTTTCTTGAAAAATATTTCGAATATATAGAAAAAAATCAAGTAGATTTTGCATAGCAAATTATCTCTTCATTTGTGCCAGTATAATAATATCGATACTTCTGCATGTTTTTATGGTAAAAATGACATTGTTATTTATTTTGAAAAAATATATGAAAATATATTGTAAAACACCAGGAGACACCACAACGATGAAAAAAAATCACACAATTATTTTAATGTATGAATAATTATTATTTCATGAATATTAAAAATTTCTTTTAATAGTCTCATCTGTTAAATTTGTGGTCAATTGATTAATTGGAAAAAATCGTATCTTTACAGGAAATTAAGGAAAAAATTATGATGGTAAAGAGAAGCGAAATAAAAATCTTATCGCATTTTTATTTATTTTTTATCGTAACAAGACGAGACTAGAATATCTTGAAATTTGCATGTAAAATTATTCACGAAAATATTAGATGCAACGCGAAATTTCGCAGGCATGAATCTTCTTACAGCGTCAAATATGTTAAAAGAAAGAATATATTTCATGTAATAATGGATACTCATTATATAACGTCATACAGATTTTGAATTTTACTCGAGTTACAAAGCACACAAAAAGAAATCAGATGTCGCACTGTGTGTACATCATATATCTACACTGCGTATTACAATCTTTACTGTTTTAATATATACATTTTATTACATATGTACATAGAGAGATGATTAGAATTATGTTTGTCGCATTAAAATATTGCTTTTACGGGATACCGTTTCAGGATAGGTTTCAGCTTATTGAACTCACTTTACGCCATCCATCTCTCTTAATCATTTTAGTATTGATCCCAATTTGACAAATCAATATTGGAATTAACAAATTAATTCAGATTTAATTTCAAATTTCAAATATTAATCTGATTAAATTTGATTAAAAATATTTCCCACAAATGTTTATACATTTTTTATTTTAGTTTTTCCATTTTTTATTTTATTATATTCCTGTATTTAGCTAAATATGTAATCATAAAACAATACTTTCATTTTTAAGTTCTCTATGAAAACAAATTTAGAAGGCAAATTTTTGTATTATCAAATGGATAATTAAATATTAAATATATTAAAATATTTGATAAATATATAATAATCAAATATATTAAAATATATGGGATTATTATAATTATAGCATTAGAAAAAAGTCTTGTAGTTTGTTACGTGCCATAATATTATATTTCCTTTGGATATCATAATATCACAGAAAATGTACTATGCAGTATTTTAATATATGTATACTGCATAGATTTCTCCAAAAATAAACGTAATTTTTCTAATGATTATGATAACTGCAAATTATACATAAAAACGGTTTTATTGTCTTTAACCAATTATTTGAATATAACGATTTTAATCATTTACATAAAGGTCAAACATGCATGTTTATATACATTGATAGTCCTAGCATTTCTGTAAAAAAATGAATAACTAATTTTTTAATGTTAACTGTAACTATGTGGACAAGATTGATAAAGCGTATTGCGGTTAATTATTAATTCATAAGTGAGACAAATTGTTAAAATATCTTGTCAAATCTTATTTACCCGATACAAATAAAACGTTTCGCGAATTACGTTTCACGAATATTTTTTTTCTTTTCGAGATGTTTTACTTAACATGCAGATATCTTAACGGTAAAAGGAAGTTGTTTTTGATCATAGTTATAGAATAAGAGTTATGAAATTTCATTTGGATCTTGCGCAGCTTAGACTATAAAAATATTTTAGAGATTAAGAAATCTAGAATTTGGAAGGCAGACGATAAAGCTAACACTAATTACTTGAGAACGATGTGTGAGAAGACCAACAGTATACTAGTAATACAATAAATTAAAACTAAGGCAAACATATTATATAATAATCGTTACGATAAAAAAAAATGAAGAAGATAAATTTTATTGATAGATTACTAATAAAATAATTTTATTGATTATCAATAAAATTATTTCAATAATCTCTTGTATCACGATTATCTGACAAATCACATGATATTTCATCTGTATGTTTGTTTCCTAACATCAGTGCAGACTCGATCACATTTCTAGAATTTAAGCGTATTTGCGCGTAGCTCTGTCTTTTTAAGTTTTTCTCTTTTTCGGAAGGCAATGTGTTGTAATATTTAATTATTGGTAATTATCTAGAGTCTGGATATAATCGTTATATTGCTTCTTTTTTTACACCGGTACTTTACTTGTACTTCTATCGCTAGAATTGTCGCACTTGCAAAGTTCCGTTGCCTTTCCTGTACATTTCGACGGGCAACACTCTTTTATCGCCTCCGATTTTATCTCGACATCGTAAATGTTGGTCTTCGGCGGCGGTTACTCGTATTTGCATATCACAGCATACATATCGCCGCCTAAACGAAGCGCCAGCCATCGATTCTTCACGACCGCCAATTTCAGACACTCGCACTTCATTTTAGCATGGAAATTCGTGTGTAAAGTTCTACCCATTCCCTCGATGACTATAAGGTCTACGTTGTGCTCGACCATTGCGAGACATAGATCCAAATTCAGACGACTGTGAAATAATGAAATAATATTGGTTAATTAACATTAATGGATATATATTAAATTAATGAAACTTGAAATAAAATAATAGCACTATGAAATATTCTATACATGAAAACGAATTACCTGAGATCCAGACAAGGACCTGCTTGCGCGGTTTCCATAGCAATAAGAGTATTGTCTTCTAGCGCTTGTTTGAGAACATTACAAATTTTGGCAGCGTCTCGTAACATGACGACCAATTCAGGATACGTTACATCATTCAAGGCTGGCATAGAATTAGCGCACAATATTACCTGAACGCATAAAAGACAATTTTAATGCGATCAAATAAATTTGATCAATTATTTAATATACTCGTTTTTTTTTAACCAATTTAAAAAGCTCGATTCAAGTATGCATAACAGTGAAACTAACTTTAGTTCCCCGTTGCAACAAATCTCGTGCAAATGGCAGGATTCCAAGAACTATGTCTACGCCGCTATTATCGACAAAGATGGCTGCACATTTGTGAGATGGTCCATTCTGTAATCTGTGTATCCAATCATCTAAATTATCCTGTAGCCATGGTCTACCTATGTTTTCGTGATAGAATATTATTTTAAGAAATTCTTTCAAAATGTATCAAGAGAATAGAAAAGAATTTATTGAAAGATAAATCTCGCAATATTAATTTCTTTATTTAATGACATTGATTTACCTGGAATTTTCGCTTGAGCTTCTTCAAAGCCAAAATCATCGGTTTCCAATAACTTTGCAACATCTTTTGCACCCCAATCGAATATATTACCACTGAGAACGCCGAGAATCAAAGCTTTTATCTTTTCCGCACCTTCTAATTTGTCAAGAGTAGTTACGCGATCGTGTAGATGCCCCAATGCTTCTTCGTTCTCCTTTCTTTTTTGCTGCAAACGAAGCATTACGATGTGACACATAAATTTTGTTTCGATGCGTTCATTTTAAAAACAGACTAGAAATACCTACATGTAAATACGGATCTGGAAAATCAAATTCTTTCATGCAATGCTCGATGGTATCCAATAATATTCTGACCGTAAGTGCTCCATAAGCACTGCAAGTTTGCATTACATAAATTAATAATTTGATAAATAAATAAATTAGCTTTTTTTTTACCGCATGCGGTTAATTTTAGTATTTCAGGGGCGACGAAAAACTTACAACGGTTGCGCGTGAAGGTAGTGTAGTCTGTTTATGTATTTCTCCTTTAATTTCAACCCTCTGTCCTCTGCTGTCGGACTGTGCGGCTGACTGCGAATAGCTCTCGATACAAATTTATCCACAGATTCTTCAAAACATTGCAGCCAATAATCTCTATAAACATTTTAATTCTCTATGTTTACATAATCACTGTCTTTGAAATTAAAAGAAAAAAAAAGGTCTCACCTTGCTTCCTTGTCCTGAGCGAGATCTGTAGTGTCCGGATTGTAAGATGCGGGGTCTTTTAGTAGGGGGCAGAACGTAACTGCATATTCCGCCTGATCGATTTCCAATTGATCGATCTTAATTCCGAGATCGGTTGACACGGAATCTTTAAAACTCGATGACCCGGCATAATTTTCCAACCAGCTGTATTTGTCTGTCTGTTCGGTGCCGTACAAATATGCCCCAATTGCGCCAAGGTAACCTTCATGGCGAAGAAAGAGAGGCGTTACCTTATCCTAGATAATGGATATATGTGACAATAAATGTAAATTTTTATACCTAGAAATGCACAAATTACGCAAAGACTTGCACTTTTAACGCTTAGCCAATTATACGAAATTATTTGATTGAAGAATATTGTTGGATTTGTAAGAAAAAAAAATTGTAAGAGTAAATTGAAAGTAAATGTAAATGACTATCATATAAAATGACTAACATGAGACCAATAATTGATAGAGTATGAGATGGTGTGCATTGATAGTGGATGGTTACGAAGGAAATAACCACCAAAGTAAACCTTGTCCATGTTGTAAACGGTTGCATACAAACTAGCTATGTGTCCAATATCATTGCTGATGGTGAACAGTAAACTCCTTGCGAGGTCGGCTTCAGAAAATGTTGGCTGTCCTAAAACGTTATTAATATAATTAATACCTAAAATCGCTACTGTGCCGATTTCATAGACGCATGAATTGGATCGATTGGTAAAATCATAATAATTTCTATTAAAACTTCAATGATTTTATAAAATAATTAAAAAATTATGAATAATTGAATGTTTTTAATTTGGCCCAAAAATTTTGATCTCAAAAAGAATGCACCAGAAATGTGTGAGTAATTTTTTAAAAATTATTTTAATCGGACTCTTGTAAGTTTTGATGTGAACTTTTTATGGTTTATACGTAGCCGTGCTTACCGCAAGCTACCGCCTTGCCAAAAGATGATGCAATAAGCTCTCCAGATAAACCTTGGGAGGAATAATCGCCCCCATAAATATCTTTCACTAACATATCTACATTACGGTGATCTCCTTGTTCTGCAAGTTGCAGCAATTCATCAAAGTCCTAGTAGGGTGTTTTTAAAGTCATTGTTTTAATACATATCTATATATACAATTCACATGACTCAATGGTACTATGATGGAGCAGAATCTTCTCATATAATAAATTATTTCATTATTTCATTTCTAGATATTTGTAAAGATTACATAACAATCCATCCAAATAAAGTTTCAATTAACGTGCAACGTCATGTTGTTGTAACAGTAATCAAAAGAAATTATGGTGTCAGAAAATTATGCATAAATTCCATACCTTTCTTTTCGTAAGTAACGATCCCAATCCCCAAAATGTTCCTCCCCCTGTGGCTGTACCTCCGACTCTTTCAAATACTTCATCTGATTCCACCTATAAAAATAAAAAAAATTTTAAATAAGTAAATTTGAAATAAATTTACTTATTGAAATTTATTGCTAAGTACTAATTTTACTAAATATGTACTACTTACTTTAAGAATACTGACGCCACTGCCGACATTAACTAGCAAATATGGAAATATGTTGGGTCCAGCTTTTTGAAACTTATACTCTGGATTCGCATGGCGGTGATACTCAAACGCCTCACATGGTATATTTTTAAGCAAGAAATTACAACCCTTTATCAGACAGTATATCTCGTCTTCCTTGTCAACTCTGCAATTTTATCTTATCAATAAGTAAACACAATCTCTCAAGAGTTACGTGTATCGAAAATTAAACAAAAAAGTTGAATATTTCATGTTATAATATATATTTGACAATGAAATTTCAATTGGATCGCAAACAGAGTCTGAAGTACAAAGGTATACTTACAATAATCCTAATTTTTCTTGTAGCAATGGGGTATATTTGAATGCTCCGCCTCCAGTAACTTTAATACTTTTCCCGTGAAATCGTTTAACATCCACTAAATTCTCTTTAACAAAGTCTAAGCAATTCTCGATATATCTTGTCTCAAACTTAACAAAATGCAGTCTATTACCCTCGAATACTTTATATGCTCGTTCGCCACTGTTCCCTAAACCCTCCGCATCCTCGTAAAGAGCTTTGCGGTAATTTACGGTTGAGTAATAGGCGATTTTGGTTAATGACAATCCTGAAATAATACACAATATAAATTATATAGCACGCAAAACATAAGAACATGAAAATGATGATTATAACTTTAGAATATATTTAATAATAAAATTTATTACGCAATATTATGTAATTAAGAAACACTATTCTAAATGCATTTTTCATAAATTTATTACATCTTTTATAACTGTAGGCTGTATCCTGTTACAAATCCTGTACAAATATTTTTCTCCAATTCAATTCTAGCTAATCATGACAATCAAATTGAGATTAAAACTATTTCAACAGAATAGAATCAAGATAGTGTAAACTATATGCAAAATAATTTTTTTATAGGCACAAGATGTAAAATATAAGTTGGGAGATGTGATATAAAATCTAATGCAAATTCTATTCCATTACTTCTTCCAGTGTTAACATTCTGATAAAAAAAAAAATAAAAATAAAACTTGACAGAATAATTAAACAAAATTCTCGTTAAAAGGACAGTTCTATGAGACATTTATTAACTCGTGCTTTCTTTTCTCTCGGGCAGTCAAGTGACAGTTAATTGTTATGTACATACAAGTTGGAGCACAGATACATAATTTAGCACGCAATAACGTGCCACTTCACGTGAACAGGTATCACGTTACACCGTGTTGTGATCACGCTCGACCCGATAGTCAACTCAATGTAGACGTTAGATTTACTACACTGCAGAATATCCTATACATCTCCCATAACGGTCGGAGCGGTTAACCTCTCAGGGCGGGATCAGGGAACCGCGAAGGGACCGGCCCCGACGACGACGTACCGATGTCTATGGCGAAGGTCTGCGCGTTTTTCAAATTGGCGAACACCTCGACGGCGGGTGGCAATTTGATGCAACGTGGATGCGACCGTTCGTCGCCGTCGACCTCCGCTGCCATCCCCACGTCCATGATACGACGATCCGCGCTCCTCGGTTTCTCCCGCGACTGTGTGTATGACTGACCGCGACACCGCGTGCACCTCTACGGGCATTTAAAACGCGACTGGCAGGTGGCGAATGCGACTACATTACGGGCGATCCCGGGGATGCGAGATAAGTCGTCTCCGATCCCATCGCCAATCGAAACGAATCGCGAGCGGGAAGGATCCTCGTGAACTGTCCCGAAGGAACCTTCCTTGTTTTCCCTCCCTTTTTCCTCTCTCTTTCACAGCTGTGGCGCAACGAGATCCTATTTATTCGCGTTTACTCCGGTTTACTCGGACGGCACGGGATGCCGATTTAAAAATCGGGTATCGCGACGAACATTTGTGTATACAATATACATACAGATGTATGTACGTGTGCACTTGGTACACCAGGCAAAACGGAGGGATAGACAGGGACTGGAAGACAGAGAAACAGCCGAGAATTTCTGATCTTTATTGCACGCATTCGCGACATTATTGTTACAGACGTACACATGTGTTTGTCACAGAGATGCTATATTAACAGGTCTGCTGTAGTTTTTGTATTTCTCATATATTCCCTTTCTCTCTCCAATAACGCACGCATTTCATTTAAAGTGCAGTGCAGAAGGTGTAAAATCGCGGACATTACCGACATAAATCGTGGACATTTGCTACGTAGTTCAATGTCCACGTTTTATGTACATAGAGGCGCTCCGCTCTCAGGCGCTTCTCTCTGCTACAAGTTTCAGTGATATTAACCTCTTATGTTGTCTCGTATTGTTTTGTAATAAGAAAACACGAAATATATGCTCTTGCATCAGAGCTTGAAGTAAATAAATAAGGTTAAATATTTACCATTTCAAATATTTCCTTCTTGTAATAATTTTGTAGAATGTAGCAGTGTGCTATATTACTTCTGGCAATTAAATTAATAATAAAGGAGTGTAAAATGCATAGTGAAAGTGAAGAAGGAGAAATTGTATTCGATTTTGAAGATTTTACAGAAGAATTACATAGTTTTCCGCATATTATAAAATTCATACGTAAACTGCACGACCATATTAAAAAACAACAGAAGAAAATTGATAAACTACGAAGGAAACTTAATGAGCAGGTATATATTTTTGATAAAATCAATGTTTTTATTATCTTTAATTAATTCTAATTTAATTATGCACATATATTTCTCTCTTGTCACTTTCAATTCCATTTTTTAATCTCATTAATGAATCTCATGATTCATCTTTTATAGAAACAGCAAGACTTGCTCTGTACAAAAACATATGTACACTGTGGGACTCAGACAAATCCTTTAGATTTCAATAAATTATCATTATCACAGAATTGGGATGTTAGTGATAGCGTAAAATCACCTAGTATAGTAGATCAAGTGACGCAAGTAGCAGAATCAGCTTTATTACAGACTGGTTTTGTTTATGAGCAAACATCAGGAATGTATTATGATTATAATACTGGATATTATTATGATACAGTATGTATATATACGTGTACATATTGCTTGATAAATATTACAACTTTATGGAGCAGATACAAATATAAGTTTCTTTATGATGTCTGTGTTTGTGTGTGTATGATACACAGCATCAAGGAAACTTATATATGTATCTGCTCTATAAAGTTCTAATATATATATATATATATATATATATATATATATATATATATGTATGTGTGTGTATGTATGTAATATGTATAAATGATAAGTATATGAGCTCTATTATTATTTTAGAAGCAAGGTTTATATTACGATGGAAATACGGGAACATATTACTACTATGATGAGGCTAGTAAGACGTACCAATTTCACAGTCAAATTTGTACAAACAAGACTACTCCAACACATCTTGCAACTTCTCAAATGAAGGAGGAACAAGGAATTGGAAAATCATACAAGGTTTCAATTATAACTTTTAAAATAATTTTATATATTTAGATATTAATTTTTGTGAAAAAATATGTAAAATTTTGTTTTGAATTACAGGTTTTGAATGAAATAGATAAATTAATAGAGGATATTTCAGATATAACAATTGAAAGATACAGGCAACAAGCTTTAGGTAATTATCCTATGTTTTTAATATGCATATGTATCTCTCTTGTAGGATGACGTTAAAAAACGAAAACTTATAAGTGAAGAAAATTCGGAAGATAAAGTACCTGAAGAGGGCGAATGTTCAGAGAGTGAGAATGACGGCGTTTTTGACGAAATTATGCCTGACGTATATACGAGTAGCGAAAATGACGATGAAGAACAAGGTTTATTTTTTATATTATTTGTTTCCTTTAATTTTTTTTTATATAATACTGTGGATACCTTATATATGGTACTGTGCTATTATATTATGTATGTATTTTATCATTTTGCTGTTATTCATAAAGCAGATTTAAAAAAAATTAATATGAACTAATTTTGATGTAATATTTTTTCATTATATTTTAAAATACAATTTTTCATAATAATAATTTCAAAATAATTATAATTTTTTATAATATATGAATCTGACAGGTAATAACTAGTATAAATAACTAGTTAATTAGTTAAAAATTAAATAAGAAAGTTAAATTAATAACTTTTAACTGATCTTAGTTTATTTTAAATGAGTTATTTTTTAATTTCAATTAATTTTTGTTAGCACAAACTAACTTATTAATATTTTTTAATTTTTCTAACGCTAATGTTTTTTTTATAATATTTTGAACATTAAAAAATTAGTTAAAGTTTAACGATCGTAATGGGCACGACGCTTGCAGTGTTCAAAGGTGAACAAAAATTGTAGGGTACACATCCGTTTCACGTATAATGTGCATAATGTATTAATATCTTTGTTTATTCGGTGAATAACAAAAATAAATGAATCATCATGCACATCATGCATCAAACGGAATACATCCTTTAGATTCTGCAAAATATAAAATAGAAAAAATCCAAATTTATTACAAAATTTTCGTATTATGGAACATCTGTACATCTTAAATATGTATAGTATTATTAAATAATTTTTTTTCAATGGATTTCAATTCATCTTGTTAAAATTTTATTTGAGACTTAATTATAACAAGAAAGCTGATACATATAATTCTCACTATGATGAAATTGATATTAAATATTTTAATGTAAAAAAAACTTTACAAATACATATTCATTTACAACTCAATTGTTATTTCTGCTTTCTATGATGTGTATAAATTTAAAAATCTGGAAATTATTTTGATTTCAGATTTAGCAAAAAATTATCCACCATGTATGAGAATTATTGTCAAGGAAACAGATTTAACGAAATTAAAATTAGGCTCCCTTTTTCTCGTGACATGTACAGGAGGTTCATTAGGTCGAGAGGGAGACCATTCGGTGTTGATACCGGACATAAATATTAGTAAGGTACGTCAATGAGATAAGTTCAAAATTTCATCTTTTACCACAATATTTGTGTCATAATTGTATATACCTACTTACAGTATCATGCACGTTTTATATATGACGAAGCCAAGAAACAGTATCAAGTAATAGATTCTGGTTCAAGAAATGGTACTTTTATAAATGGCAAAAGACTGTCAGTAGCTAAGCAAGAATCTGAGCCTCATGAAATAACGCATGGGTCAGTTATAAAAATTGGCGGAACGAAATTATTATGCCATATTCATAATGGAAATGAAACGTGTGGCCATTGCGAACCGGGTCTTGTTCAACAAAACATCAATCTCAATGAAAATAAGGCTTTGAAGACAAAGCTTCATAAGGAAGAGTTGCGACGTCTGAAACATAAATTTGGAATTGAAAATGATAATGTTATATCTAGTAGTCAATTAGCTTCGGGTTATCAAGACAGAGCGCAAGCTAGGCGGCAGCATGTAGGTTCCTCGGATCCTCACGCTAAAACGCAACAAAGTTCTATTTACACGTAAGTATATATTGAAACTTTCAAATATAAAAGAGAACTCGCATGCATCTATTTTGTATAAATAAATTTATACAAAATATTTATACAAAATAAATAAATTTCTAATAAGGATATTTATAAAAATATTTATAGATCCATAACAAAGGATAATAAAGGATTCAAGTTGCTTTCAAAAATGGGTTGGTCTGAAGGTCGCTCCTTGGGCAAAGATGGAGATGGAAGGACAGAACCTGTAAGTTTTTTTCTTTTTTTAGGCTAAACTTCTGAAAACGTCACATCTACAATTGCCATGAATTGTGCGCGCGCGCGTGTGTGTACATGACATAGATTAAATATTTTCAATTAAGTAATGAAGATAACAGTACGATCTTTATAGATTTGAAACTATAAATTCACAGCACGCCTGTGTGTTTACAAGAAAATTAAAGATAAAGAAAAAGGAAACGAATGCACGTTCGAGTCATTAGTCGAGTAATTGTAGAAAATCCATAATTTCCTCTTCCCTATCTTTAGTCGCACCGTCGCCGCGTACCGATTTAGTCCTGGTTGCTTGTCTTGTCGCATTTCAACGGCGATAAAACGAGCACCGTCGGTACGAGTAGAACATTCGTATGATAACGAGAGTAACTATGCGAAATGGCGAAAGAAGAAACCGCTCGGATTGCAGACCGTGAACAACAGAGTAGTAGCCGGGGATAATAAATGCAAATGTATTAAAATCCAAATCATTATTTTGTCTAGACGCATCATATGCCTCATTGCATATACTAGGATACACAGTCGGCGGTGACGTCTGTACGCATAAAAGGATTGAAGGGTGGGATAAAGACACATATATACACACACGCATGCATGCGCGCGCGCACAAGCTCTCTCTCTCTCTCTCTCTCTCTCTCTCTTCCTCCCTCCCTCTTCCTCTTCCTCTCCCTCCCTCCTCCCTGTTATTTCTCTCGTCTGTACTGGTGTTCATTGTGCCTAACTATCCATTTGTTTGTCCTGTTGTCCTAGTAGTCTCCTCCCTATCCACCTTTTTTGTCAAATTCGTATTTTGCTCTAACAGTTATTTCCATTAAAGCCGCTTTTATTTTTTGCTCGTAAAACATCACATTGCTTTAGAACTAGAATTTGAAGTTACGTTTTTTGTCATATATGATTTTCTTTTAAATAAATATTATAAATAACAGTATATGAAGATACCAAATTGTGTGTGTGTTATTTAACTTTTCACACTATTCAAGAATTTTAACAATCCACCTCATTTTCTAATGTTTAATATTTCATTTTGCGTTTTATTATTTTATATGCTTTACAATTTTATTTTCCGTTTCCACGAAATTTTTTTTATGATTCTTTACATTTTCCTTCTTTTTATATAAGTTTCTTTACTTTATGTTTATGTTTATCAAATATAATATAATATAATAAACTGCCATTATATTTTTCTTGATCGTAATCACAGAATATTGCCACTTGAAACGGTGGAACACAGAATATTTTGCATAATTAATTGTGTGTGACTATCTTTTTCTTTTCAATGTATAATTTGATTAATTGGAATAGAAGCACATATTAAATATATAAAAAAAGAATATATATTAAACATATATAAAATAAAAGGTTCGATTATATCAATTTTGAAATAAATCCAAACGCATCTTGTGTCGCTAAAGACGCTAAATGCGTATTCGAAAACTGGAAATATCGAATAGTTGCAAAATTTTTTTGCACATTACAAAAGCTGGTTCGTCAAGATAAGTTTTAAGATCATTTCTCATTCGCCGATTTTACTCATTCCACTGTATTGTTATCGTAGATAGTTATTTCGCTTTTACATTGAATTCGTTTTTTTTTCTTTTTTATGTTTCTTTCTCACCCTTTCTCTTAACGTACACCACTGACGCAGTTGCAGAAGCGCCGTAATATCTGCACCGTCTTTAAATGCGTTTCACAATGGTATGACCTATATCGTAAACGATAGAGAGACAGAGAGGTGGTACGAGCACAAAATACGGAAGGAAAACACTCGTTGGGACGATACGCCTCGTTGAAAGCTCGTAAACTAGACATTGTAAAGTCCGCGAATGTCGATTGCTAGTAAACCGCGAGATGTAAAACCGTTGTAGAAATGGGCTGTGTAGTCTATATACGTACGCAAAGCCGTAGTATACTTTAACGACTAAAATCTCGACGAATTCATTTATCTAAGTGCTTTACCGAGCTCTAGTCTACCCGACACGGATCACCGCAGTTCGAGTTACAATTCCTCACCATCTCGCGCGAACGAAATGTAAAAATATTTATGGATTTAAAATTGCTTAATGATGTGATCACAATTTGATCGTGTTGGAATTAATAATAAAAATCCATCAAATATGTTGGTTAAGAAAGAAGACAAGAAGAAAAACGGTTGATAATTAAAAAATATTAAACAAAGTGTTTCGCAAAATATTTCTTATTTTATGAAGTAATAATTGTAGTTACGATTTTTGAAAAAAAGATTTCAGAATACAGAAACATCTCTGTACAAGCTTCTTTTTTGCAAACGCACGGATCACAAAGTGTATTTCGCAGACTGTATTTAGATACTGCAACGATTTCGTTTTATAGACTTTCCTAAACATCGACTGCCGTAAGCTATTTTACGGATAGAGTACGAGCGTACATCTCCAGTGATTCCTTTTACAATTTACATCCATTTCAATATTACAACTGTTTACGATTTCAATTTCTCAGAAGAAAAAGTCGTTCGATAAATGACGCGAATAATTTCAAATTGCTGATTAAGATAATAAGACTCTTCGTGAATATATCCGTAAAGTATATTCGTGAAAGAGATATTGCCTTTGATTCTTTTTCCGCGAAACACAAATGTCTCAATGCAAATAACAGTATGTAACATATTTGTAATGAGCTGAGATAATGCGAGAGCAAAAATTATCTGTTAAGGGATTTAACAGAAACGATTCAGTTGATGTTAAGTCCGCATTAAAGAAAATAGAATCAGTTAATTGACTTAACACATTCAATTTGAATTATCATTTATTTAAAATGCACTCGCTCGTACAACCGCGTAACATACCTACTTTATTGCCGTAGTGTCTGACGTTAATCGGAATAAAGAAAGATGTTTTGACACCGCATCTGCGCTCGCGCAAAACAACATATTTGCTCACACAAATAATTCGCCTCGACTATCGTTTGGCACAGATTTATTTGCGAAAACTTGTTGCCATTTTCTTATTATTTTGTTTATTTTCTTATTACAATAACCTCTTTTTATTAACCGTATCTTTCCTTTTCGACAAAAACAAGTAGTAGTATACAAGAAAAGAAGAAGAAAGAAGGGTTATTTCTTCTTTTGCATAGCAGAATCTGACTTATATGCGAATATACGTACGCGTATCTCTACCACGGGCGTTACATTTAGCGTTTACATTTAGGGAAGTACGCTACCAGCGTTATCTTGTATCACGTTTTATCTTTATTGTTCATTAAATGTAAAATGATGTAATAGCGCTAGTAGTGCGCTCCTCTAACATAGCTCTTGACTCAGCAAAGTCGTTTCGAAATTGTGAAAACGCAATGCAACAGACTTATGTACAATGCAATGATATACTGTGCAAAAATATAGTAATGTCTTCTTTCGATTAAACATCGAATTCGGCATTGTCTCTAAAATTTAGAAATTAAATATGATTTATTTAATGAATAACTGATGAAAGAAAACAAATTTAATCGTAAAAAATCAGGTTTTTTTCATTGTTACTTAGTGATTATACGTCACAAATTTCGTTCATACTTGCGTGGGACATTACATATGTTATATTACATATGTACTATAAAAAGTTAATCACCATTTTTTTTAAATTAATTTTTTACCTGCCTTTAGCATAATATAACGATATTTACATTTATATTTATTGCAATTGATATAAAATTCATTACAATCCCGATGGAAGTTTACAATCCTCATAGAATGTTTTGAATGCTACTCGTGAATGAATGTTACTCGTAAAAACAGGGTTAGGCACATATACATAAAAACAGAATCGCAGATGTTGACTTCAATCCTTCTTCCACACTTACTTTACACGATGACTTGTTGTTGCCATCCATCTTTTGTTCTTCTTGTCTTTTTCTCGCTTTCGTTCCCTATATTCCTTTATTTAGACACAAAAACAGTACTAACAAAAAGAAAAAGTTAAAATCGCGTGCCTGCATGCCTCTTACAATGCATACGAATCGGTTCGTAAACGACAAAAGACAAACAAGTTGATTTTCTACATTCTAATGCAACTTTTGACTATTCGTTAAATTGGTTAAGTGAGAATATAGGCAGACGTCTATTATTATGAAAATTGATATGTTTACAGATCAAACATTTTATAATATAATTTTATAATATATTTGATTTTACAAGTTGTTTATTCATCTGCCAACACTTCCCAATACCTTTCCATATCATCTGGCACGATAATTCAAAAATAAAAATCAACCGAGTGAGTGATATATATATATATATATATATATGTATATATATATATGTTATATATAACAAGCAAAGAATTTATGATACGTTAAGAATATAGAAAAATCAGAAAGAAAGATTAAAGAATCAGAAGAAAGATTAAAAAGTTAGATAAAGGAGAGAAACAAGAGTTGCAAGAATACAAACGAAAGCGGAAAAAAGAAAAAAGACAAAACTTTGTAGCAATTCTACAAAGAAAAGGAAGTAGGAGGCAACAGGTGGAAACTTACAGTCACAAATAAATCCGACACAACATCACTGTTCAAACACATCTGTTCGTTAACTAACTACATACAATAAATAGATTAACACGATTTTTCTTTCATTCTCTTTATCTCCAGTATTCGTGTTATTTTAGACATTTTTAATTACTTGCTTTATGTTTATATGTATGCGTTCGTATGCGTGCGCGCGCGTGCATGCACACATGTTTGTGAATTTTCCAAGGTTCGCGATAAATTAAAAAAGGCAAAGATTCTTGTAAGATAACTTTTAACTTAGTAATACCCAAAAAATGTTATAAATTTTAAGTATGTATAAAGATTCTCTCCTAAGATTGAAGATGTAAAGGGTTAAGATCATTTTCTATGCGCAATGCAAAATTGGTACGATTCCCCGAACAAAGAGATATACAGAGACGAAACGAAATTAACCAGAATTCAGCCAGGAGGAAGCGCGCGCGCGGACATGAGTGCATAATTCTGTGCACATACGAGTATGAGATCCGTACTCGCAGCACACGCGCGCAGGTACGTGTCAGCTTACAGTCGGCATTGCCACGCACACACATACACACACACGTATACATTTGTTTGTATGTCGGTAGTCCGCGCGCGTAACGTTAGTTAGCTAGGAATATACAATTCAGTCAGAAGCGGTCGATTGGTCCAGACGAGATATGTGTATATGCTGATCCAACACAAACGTTAGTCGAATAATCGTCCAGTATCGACATACAAATATGTACAATGAGAGATTTATTAATTACAACGCACCGGCAATGCATACGTCTCGGTCAACATAAACTGTATACAATTGAATGTTATCGAATCAGACGCGACGCGACGTGACGTGATGTAATGGAGAGAATGTACGGTTCAATTGACGTACATGCATTTTTTATATATTCATTTTTTACAAGGTATGTTCTTTTTCAACCCTCGGAAGACTAATGCAGAGTCATTTTGACCATAATAGAATTTCTATTGCAAACTAGTTTCGAAGGAATTATATTTAAAAACACATTTTAAGAACAATATATACTTTATTTCTTTTTAATTTTCTGTACACGTGATACACGAAATAAGTGTATTTTTTTGTATAATTCCTACAAATAAATTTATTACAATTTTGACATCTTGTACTATATATATTTTGTATCATTAGCGACGCTAAATATAACATCATCGTCCTTCGTCATTAATCGCTACTGCATCCCTCGAGGTGTCTTATCGCTCACGGGTCAAAGTGACTTTGCATTCGTCGTTACGAGGGTTAAATGCATTATTCTTTTTTCTCGATTAAATCTATAATGCATTTTGCATGATATTTTTCATGCTATTCTGAACACAAAAGTATAACGTATATAAATTAATTGCACTATATCGATAAAATGAACTTTTATCACCGAGTAATGATTCGTTAATTTTTATAATCTAATATTA